AGATGGTGGAGAACAACATAAGATCAGGTTAACAGCTACCTATGATCTATGGCATAAACCTAGGGTAAGGAGAAAAGGGTTATCTCACATGTGGCAGCTAATCATGTGCTGGGTGTTTCTGTAAGGGCTGTCAAATTTGTCATCAGAGAGAAGTGCGGCATCAACATAAACTTTTGTCTCACCATTATGTTGTTTGTTATGAGAAGCTATGCTGGGAAAAGTGAAGGAGTGGCTGGAGCCAATGCCTTGATTACTAAAGGCAAATAGGCTGTTTACTTTGAGAAGGTATTTTTTCTTAGTTTAGTGAAATAAGTGAAGCTCTACTAACTTCCATCATTCAATCACGCACAATCAAAAATACTGTGGTTTTTTTCTTGCACGTGATTGGGTCTTGTTTGCAAAGTGCATTTTCACCACATTCACTAAGCTAAGTGAAAAATTCCCATGCCAAGTGCAAATTCCCTTGCACAATGAACAACTTATTTGACTTTAGTAAATTAATCCTTTTGTGAGGAGAAAAGCTTTTGCGTCATACCTGAGAACAGACCAGATTTGTGTTTGTAGCAGTTAAGGTATTTTCTCAGATTCTGCAAGCAAACCCGTAATGTATGCATAGCTTATTTTTTGTATGAACTTGGATTCATACGCTGGAATCCCAACACCTTTACTTGAGGCTGCATGGAGACACAGGAGTCATGGAAAAGTTCAGGGCACACTGGAGTCACAGGAAGCCACAAGATGTTCTAGGGTCACTGGTTGATACAGGATGCTTTGGAGTCACTTGAAGTCACAGGGTGCTATAGGGTTATGGAGTGACACAGGAGGAGTCTCAGAGTCACTGGCAGCGCAGGAGAGCTGGGGTCACTGGAGATTCTAGAATCACTGGAAACACAGGAGTCACTGGAGACGCAGGAGTTGCTGAAGATGCAGGAGACTTAAGGTGTGCCGCCCCAATGGGGCATAGAATATGTTGTAGAAGTTAGTATAGATAGAAGTTTTACATAGTGTGTTTGCCTATATATTTTCTCATAGTTAAATCCATGTGTTATCCTATGCTGCCATCTAGTGGCCTTTTGTTGTAATGTACATGTTTTTCTGTAATTATTCCTCATGTGACGATGTATTTCCCCCTAGTGTACGCCCCTTCCTGCTTCCTGTGTGCAGTACTTCCTGTGTCATGGCCACAGTTAAGAGCCACATGTAACAAGGACACACATGTAATCTGCACAGTACGTAAGAAAGGCATGATTTTCTGACCGCACAATACTATAACCATTCATATGCTGTTCCTATCATCTGCTGTAATCCTGATGTAAAGAATAAACACCTCTTTTGAATGAATCGGTATTGACGAGTTCAGCTATCTGACGAGGATTGTCCGCAGTGAGTATATCTGCTTATACAGGCCAGGCATAGAGGTCTCAGCAAGGGATATATTTCGCTATCACAACAATCGGAGTCAGAATATAAGGGTTGTTGGAGACTTAAGGGTTGCTGGGGGCACAGGGGTCTCTGGAGTCACAAGGCTCATTGGAGACACAGACTTTACTGGAGACATATCTTGCACACATACCCCTTTTCAAGAGTGTTTCTATGTCATGTCATGCGAGGATGTCATCCTTGATACTGCCTTGAAAAAGTCAATGAATCGTAGATATACACTGAGTGGCCAGATTATTATGACCACCTGACGTTTGTAGGCAAATTAGCTATAATTTTGCGGTGAAGTTGCTAGAGGGCCAAACCGTCATAAATAGGGAAGCAGGTTGTTTACCACGACAGTAGAAGTGTTTTTTTTCTGAAGATATGGGTAAACAATGCGATTTAACAGCCTTTGAACGTGGGATGATTGTTGGGGTTTGGTGCCATGGATCGAGTATCAGCAAAACAGCAGAATTCGTTAAATGTTCAAGAGCAGCTGTTGTTAAAGTGTTTAAAGACTGGACTGTCAGATGAAAATCTGGGTCTGAACGCGTGAATTGTGGCCGTCAGCGACTAGTCAATGTTAGGGCAGAACGGAGAGTGGCAAGACTGGTACAAGACAACAGAAGGGCAACAGTGCATCAAATGACTGCAGATCTTAATCAGGGATCCTCTCAAATGATCTCTGAACGCACTGTTCGCCGTACACTGCATCGTATGAGATATGAAAGCCGAAGGCCTGTTCGAACACCTTTGCTGTCTGCAGTTAACAAGCTAAAACGTCTCCAATTCGCACAGGGGCACAAGGATTGGACAGCCGAGCATTGGAAAAAAGTAATGTGGTCCGATGAATCACGTTTCCAGTTGCATCATGCAGATGGCAGAGTGAGAATTTGATAGGAACAGCATGAAAGCATGCACCCCACATGCATGAGTACAACCCTTCAAGCTGGTGGGGGCAGTGTTATGGTTTGGGGCATGTTTTCCTGGCATGATTTGGGCCCTTTAATTCGTGTGGAACAACGTCTGAATAGCACAACATACCAAAGTATCGTTGCTGATCAAGTTCATCCTATCATGTTGATGGCGTATCCCAATGGAGATGGCTTCTTCCAACAAGACAATGCGCCATGCCACGGTGCTTGTATTGTGCAGGAGTGGTTTCAAGAACATGAGGGAGACTTTACCTTGCTTAGGTGGCCCCCACAATCACCAGATCTCAATCCAATTGAGCATTTGTGGGACGAAGTTGAAAGAGCCATCAGGCAGCTGGTTCCACAACCATCAAATCTCACAGAACTGGACAGTGCTATTCATCAGGCATGGTGTCAGATTCCTCGCATCACCTTTCAACATCTCGTGGAGTCAATGTCAAGAAGAATCGCAGCAGTATTAAAGGCAAAAGGTGGCCCAACGAAGTACTGATAGGATGGTCATAATAATCTGGCCACTCAGTGTATGTTTCATGTTGCTTGTTGCTTTGATTTTCCATCAGGGTTTTTTTAGTGTTGTGATGCTTTTGTTGGTGCCAACTAGCTATTGTACCCGCCCTGCTCTCAGTCAGTAGTGGTGGACCTGATGGAGAACTGCAGCAGAGGGCGGGTGCAATGCTAGTTTGCTATTGGCTATTGCAAATTGAAATAGCCAATAGGAATCTGGCAATGCATTCCTATGGCCAAAAATGTTATTTATTTATTTTTCTATTCTGACACGGCTCCGTGTCAGAAAAAAGAAAAAGCAGTGTTTCTCTGCCGGGCGGCCGGGAGTTTGCTGTCTGGAGATCAGTGTCCCTGGTTAGCTGGTAACCAGGGACGCTGATCTCTCTGCAAGTGGCTGGAGCCAGCCGTAACATCACATCTTCGGCTGAGGCGAGGCATATGCGTTCGGCTCGACTGAGCCGCTCGGCCAAGTTATTGTGAATAGCCCGTACAGCAGCCCTTCGGTTCTACTGAACCGAAGGGGTCCTGGGGCCGAAGCTAGCCGAAGGATCGGCCAAAGCTACGGCTAGATCCTTCGGCTGCTTTGTGAATAGACCCCATAGTGTGTGCTTTCTGCTTAGTATTACTGCACCAGTACTTTGCTTTATTGCTTTTTTTCAGTCAACTCAGAATGATTGAAAACAACAGACATTTTATATTGATTTAATCAACTTTTCAGCAAGGATGTTAATCCTACTCCCTGGGATACATATTGCCATTAGAGGAAGAACTTGAGATCTGTATACCCAACACAATCACTAAAATATGGAACAACAAGCAAGTGACCATCAAATACGCAGTTGCAGAGTAACACAGATACACATACAGAAAAAAAAACATACATCCATAAAGTAACCCCTGCCACCCGCACCCCCAACCCACCCCGACCCCCCAAAAAACCTCTTCATAAACCCTAGCTTATCCACAGAAAGTAAAACACCCTTATGTAGTGTGGTCCAATCTGTTTTAACAGGAAAAAGATCACGAAGCATAAATGTTACTACTCAAAATGTCTACTAAACGAACAACAAGTACTGGACCGCTGATAATTATTTCCAGGATGAATACATATTGGAGACAAATTTTAACCCTCTGCACAAGGTCAAAACAGCCATGAGAAACCCATACACCCATTCTATATCTTGAAGAAAATTATTTTTTTTAAATGCTATATCATCTATAGTAAAATTACAATAAGGCTGAAGGGGAATGTATCAACTTACTAGGAACAATCTGAATTGGAAAAATAAGGTTCTTTTTAGAAGAAGGTATGTAAGTATATTATTTAAAGTGTCACTGAAAAACAAAATGCAATTAGAAGGCTCCTTTAAAAGAAGTAATTTTATTAGGGAACGAGTTGCTTCCCGGCCAATCAGAATGCCGGGCGCTGCGCCATTACACTTCGTCCGGCTTCCTGATTGGCCAGCTTCCCGACCAATTGGGAAGCTGTGCAGCGCGTCATTACACGCTGCGCGGCTTCCTGATTTGCCGGGAAGTCAGCTCCATGCTCTCTCATCACAAGTGACGAGAGAGCATGGGGCCGCTTCCGGGCCAATCAGGAAACCGGGCAGCGTGTAGTGACGCGATGCCCGGCTTCCTGATACAGTACTCGGGCTAGGCACCGGAGCATTTGGGTGAGTATGAGTACTCGCCCAAATACTCGGTATCGATATCGATACTTGCATTGATATCGGTGCATCCCTAAATTTTATACTAAACTGCCCTGATGTCTGTTCTTTGCACTGTTGATGTGCAGAGCCGCACAAAGGATATTTACATCCGACATACTATCGGGTGTATGGATGCTTCCATCCCCTACCGCATTCTCTGGTTCCTCCTGCCAGCCTCTTCATTAAAGGGAGTATTTTATTGCATTTTTTAAGAAACAGGAATATTTGTGTGAAAATCTCTGACTTTTGAGGTACCAACAAGGTAATATTATTTAAATCATATATTTTATTTGTAAATGACATATTTAAAACAAACATTTCTGTACATTTACAGATATGCTACACCTAATGTTGTTTTTAGCAACATGATCACTTTAAGTATTAAAAAGAGAGGCTTACATAACATAAACACAAACATATAACTACTTACAATGATGTAGGTACTTTTCCCGGTGCCTGTAGGCCCAATAAATACAGAAGGCTTCTGGTGAGTTGTCAGCAACTTCATTAGTACCGTATATCTAATTGTGTCCAAAGTAGGCACGATTATTTCATTAAACATTGTATCCTGTGGTATAGGTGGCACTGAGCTGAGATCTTGTGTCCACAATTCCCATCTTCCAGTTTCCTGCAATTGTACAGTTAAATATTTTACATACCAAATTAAAATACAAAAAAATAGAAAAGTAAAAGCATACTTCTGAGAACAGGAATATCACAGATGGCATTTTTGACTTGTTTTTTTTTTAAACTGCAAGATCCAGGTTTGTCATTTTGATCCTCACTTCACTATCTAGAGAGTCAATGACCTAAAACAAGCATGCAGCCCTCGGTTGCTTAGTTATCATCAAGCTGTATCCCTAAATGGATAAAAAAAAAATATTGCTTATCTCTAGGCCAGAGAGAACAGGCAGACAAGGCATCATCTAAATGAAAAGGCAAGGGATGCAATATATAATCAATTACATTTAATTTAAACCAAAACGAAGTGGCAGAAAACAATAAAGGTCATTCGAATGGCAACCCAAAAAATATACATTTCACCTGTTAGTTGTCTAAATAAAAAAATAAAAAAGCTTTCAAATATTATTGAGAGTGTTGAGCTGTACATGAAAAACTAAGGAGAATGGGCTGTAGTTTTAGATAAGTTCACTGAATTGGCAAGGGAGCTTAGAGAATTGGTGGCTGCTCGTAATAGGTATATAAACAGATTTTCTATTAAAGTAACACTAAACCAAAGCAAAAATATATATATATATATTTAATACCTTTATTTGTAACTATGTGTGACTTTTCTAACAGTAGTGTTGGACAGCACATCCATAAAAATAATTTTAAAAGCTGCACAGCTTACCACCCTCCTTTGCTATCCCTCAACATGGACTACACCAATACATGCCAACACATCCAGCACCAGCACAAAAAGCACTGTATAAATGCCCATACAGAAAAATTATCTGCCAACATAGGACCACAATAGACATGCACTGTTCACACACAGAAAGACTATGATGGGAATCCAGCCTCCTGTCGGGGGCACGCAGAGTGACTGAGAAAGGTAGAAGGCTCCAGGAAACACCAAAAACCTTTACTGTGTCAGAGAACAACTTTGTCTTGCACTCATCTTTTCTTGCCTGTGGTAGGATCCATTTTTATTTAACCATAACAAATTGTCTAATTAACAAGCAAACATTTGTCCGTAGATTTAAAAAATGTAATTCCTTTTTTTTAACATAAAAATGACTTACCTCCTTCACAAACCGATAGTCATATACTGTGTGTTCCTTGGGAATTGGAACAGTAAAGGGCTTTTCAGGAGGATCCACGGGGTGGAGAATATTAAAGCGGGTCCTTGTTTCCTCACTGAGTGGTCCATCTATGATTTCTCTCAAGAGTTTGTCAAATTTCAGGCGGTCATTTTCTGTGCAGCTTCCTCCAATAGACCAGGTCATTGAAAACAAAAATATGCCCTTCAAAAATAAGCAATACTAATTTAGTGAGAATAGAAACAGTTATGATAGCTGATGTGCTACATATTATTAAAAGTCACATAGCACTATGGGGCAGATTTATAAAACTTCTGATCAGCTATGTGCTGGGTGAATGCTGTTTGCATTGGCACTCCCTGCACTAGATGGAGCTGAGAAGCATAGGAATTCCTATGCTCCTCAACTTCATCTAGTGGTTGGAATGTAATGCAAACTACATTCGCCCAGTGTATGGCTGGGTGAAACATTTCTAAATGTGTTTACTTAATACTGTGGTTGTCCATGAATAACCCTATAACCAGACATACAGTAAACTATTTTCACAATTAATGTGACAATTTTAGCATCTTCGGAAATAACTGCATTGTGTATAAAGCGCTGCGCAAACTGTTGGCGCTATATAAATCCTGTATAATAATAATAATAATAAGAAGAAGAAGTTAAAATATAACATAGAGTGAGCCTGACACAAAGAAATCTGTACTGTAGTTCAGAGATTTTACAATATTTTAGAAAACATTAGAAACAACTGAGGATCATAATTTCTCTGATAGAAAACAAAACTATACATTTAATTGATTTGGTATTCCTAAAGTATTTGCAGTCATACTGACAAGTTGTGGTGGGTAGCAAGGTTTAGCACTCTGAAGTATGCAACATACAGTACAACAACGGTTTGTACTGTAGAGAATAGTACTATGTAGTCACTGTCATCCAGCAGATTGATGCACGGCCCAGGTTGATTGATCCAATGGTGACTACATCATTCTGGTGCTGGAGCACAGTTGACAGTTTTCAGGCAAAATACATTTAATCTTATGTCCTTTGTAACATAACAGTGGGCAGCATTTGTGCTTGGAAAACTGTCAACTGCCCATGTTCACTGCACTTAGACTTGTGGCTCTCGAATGCTAAACAGCCAAACTAGTCTTGCTGCCACTCTGCAACAATGAAAGCAGCATATGACTTTGGTTTGGACTCATGAAAACTGAGACATAGGGGAAAATGATATCCTTGTTGTAACAGAAACATTCAGGTGTTAGCTCTCATTCTCCAGTCCACAACATTTAAGTGTGGAATCTGATTGGCAACCATCAGAAACAGCTTCAGGTTTCTTTGCTTGAGATTTTATAAGTAATTTCTTATGTCTCATATATTATGTTCTGTTAGTAACTATGTTCAACAAATTTATGTTTTCTTTCTTTGCTAGTTATTCAAGAGTTACTCACCTCTAGCCACGAGCAAATATCTCTTTCATTCATGCCGTGAACTGCAGATTCATCAGCAAACTCATCTAACATACAGTCCATGAGATTCATTAGAGATCGAACTAAATTTGTATCAGAGGTTGGTGATAATTCCTAAAAAACAAAACAAACACATGAAAGCCATCTTATGTTTTCACCAGGTAGGGGGTCTTTTAAAAATATATAACTATATTTGATTAATCTTTGTAAGAAACATTTTGTATTTCAGAAATAGATGCTTCTCAGGAAAATCCGTGAACTAGAATGTTAAATAGGTTATACTTAACTAGGGATATTGGTAGATCTTTGCACTCTTTTTTAATTTTTTTTTACATTTGGTTTCCCATGACTGCTCTACTTCGCTCTATGTGATTTTGTACTGACTGCTATATGCTATTTGTTATGTAATTTTGACAATAAAGCATTTGAATTAGAAAAAAAAAAAGGGTTGTACTGCCCTAAGTTAATATGGTGACCCAGCCAAAATGTTTATTTTTGATTGAGTGAGACAGTGAGAGAGCATTAGGGGGAATTCCACCCTGTCACCTCCAAACGTGTTCCCAGTGCAAGATTAACCCCCGCATGTAACGTCTGGAGACATTTAGACAAATGACAATGAGGATAGGAAGTTCACACTATAACCAAAACACACACAAAAAACTTTCTCTTGCCCAACAAAAACAAAGAAGCACACAAATTCTATGCTGGCAGGTATCTAATAAAGTTACTTAAGGTAACTTAAGATTAAATGTTTGGTAGAGGTATGTGTGGCCAAATAACCAAAAGTAGCACCAAGGATGTAATGAGAACGGGACAATACATCCTAATAAATCTTCTTTACTGTAAGGAAACTACAGTGCATTCCAGCTCCAGAAGACCAGTGCAGTCTTTAGCACATGTACATACTATGGCTCATGGCCCTTGGCACAGAATCACTGGCAGGTGTGCCTTCGCATGCAGAAGCATGCATATTAGCATGCATGCTAAGCAGCATGTGCAGCACCAAATGGTCATATAAACTGGAGTGTGACTGAGTAGACTTCAGCTACTTCCTGATACCTGCAACCCAACCTGTTGTTCTGATCTCCTGTGTTGAACCAAGCTTGCCCCTTTGACCTGCTTCTGGTTATTGTCTACTAGTTGTGACCTTGGGCCTGCATCACGGACTCTGCCTGTAATTTTGCACCCCACTGCCCGGCTGTTACTGACCCATGGCTTGCTTCCTAACACTTCCTCTGTCCATTGATTTGGTACCTCACTGCCCAGGTGTAGCTGACCTTTGACTTGAATTCTGAGGTTGTTTCTGCCTACAGACTCTGTAGCTTGCTGCCCAGCTGTTACGGACCTTGGCTCCACTCCAGACTACGCTCTTGCCTCCTAGGATGCTAAAGTGTTCCTGTGTCTTTTTTTCTTCTCAAGTGATCTATAGTCATCAGGTCTGCAGACCCGACAACTGGACAAAACACAAAAAATCCCCAGCTCACCTGCCAGCTAGCCTGCAACCAAACAATTTGCCCTGTCAATAGTATGCGTTAAAATCATAGAGTTAGGACCACACTTTGCAGAGGTGCCGTGCCGCGGCGGTGTGGCTTCTACATATTTTTGGCCAAAAGTTTGTGCAACTAAAACCTCTGATTTTAACGCATACTGTTGACAGGCAATTTGTTTGGTTGCAGGCTAGCTGGCAGGTGAGCTGGGGATTTTTTGTGTTTTGTATTGTTGTAAGCCTTCGCCAATGTGCGCCCTGCCATAAAGGCTAGTTATAGATTCATGCAGGTACCATGTTTTTTCTAGTTTGACTATTTTTGGATGTGGGGAGGCACTGGGGTCCCAGCGTGCATTTTGGGTGCTGGGCCTCCAGTGCTTTCCTCCACCTTATTAGGAGGAGTTGGCTACCTCCTGGTACACCTACATGCAATTTATCGACTGCATTAATATGCTCACACTTGGAGACTCGTATACATAGAGTTAGGACCACACTTTGCAGAGGTGCCTTGGCGCGGCGGTGTGGCTTCTACATATTTTTGGCCAAAAGTTTGTGCAACTAAAACCTCTGATTTTAACGCATACTGTTGACAGGGCAATTTGTTTGGTTGCAGGCTAGCTGGCAGGTGAGCTGGGGATTTTTTGTGTTTTGTATTGTTGTAAGCCTTCCCAATGTGTGCCCTGCCATAAAGGCTAGTTATAGATTCATGCAGGTACCATGTTTTTTCTAGACCCGACAACTGGCCCTGCCTGCAACTTCAGCCCTTGTGCCACTCCGTTTTCTCACATCTCCTGTCACCACTTCCAGGGGTATACCAGAACATTACAGTCCATTCATATTCTGTTCCCAGATTAAAAAAACATCACACAGGAAATCTTTAGACTACTTCAGCAAATGTAAGCTTCATACAGCATTGTTTAATTACATTATATACATTATATAATTGTTGAATAGGGTTATGCTGTATCTGGGAAATACAAGTACCTTGGCACATTTTCGAATCATCTGAAGACATGGTGGGACCATTCTGTCAAATAATCCTTCAATAAAACTTTTATGCATTTTGCTGAGCCCTGGAGGCAGAAGATTCATCCAGGAAACCATGAGGGGTCTCCAACCAAGCATGGTTGGTTCCATATAAATCATACCACATCTTGATACCTAAAAAACAAAATATACCTTTTTTTAAAAACACTGTGTTGGTGTTCACAAGATGGAACAGGCTATGTGCAACAATTAATACAGTAAAGTGTTTAGATTGTTGGCCTTTACAAGTCAATTCTTATTTAGTTAGGAGGTTTTTCAATTATTATTGGCTATTAATTCTGTCCAGGCTTTTCTCAGGACAATGTCAAATGTGTCATTTTTGTGCTGCATCAGATTTACTTGGAAATGCAGCACTTTAAGTGGACCGTTACCCATATCTTTAACATAACAAGAAACACACCCTTAGAAATGTTTAGTAATGACAATCTACAAACACATACTTCTAGATAATTGCAGGCTTTGTATTTTGTGCATACCTTATTCTCTTTTCTTTTCCAGTCTTCTTGCAGTGGCCATGTTAACTAAGGGCAGATTACTAGCTCCCAACATACTTCCTGAAACTCTGGCACATGTGACTACGGTAGACATGTGATTGGACATGTGACCATGCACATCATCTCAAGGGAGGAAAATACTTTTCCCTGAGATCTCATGAGATTACAGGTGAGATTTCCCAGCAATGCTCTGCTAATGTAACCTTCTCAGGATGAAATGCTTTTGGCACTTACATCATCATCATTTCAATGACAAGGCAATCCCAGTGTGCATTGCTTTGGCAAACTGAAGTAATTTTGCCCTTTCAAAGCGCGAAGTGAATGCTCTGCAAGTGCATGTATTTCAAAATCATCGCCTTTTACACCTGACATGTCTATGTTATTATCAATCATCATATATAGAGGGATGCATTGGTAGAATTTGATTTTTGAGTGTAAAGGTCCGCTTTAAGTATGTGGCAGGATCATGAAGCTCATATTACTAAATGCTTCCAACAGCATTTTTTTTTATTGAGGATGTGGGGCATATTTATAAAGCAAGGAATGTAGATTTCACCAAACATTTACTGATAGTGAATCAACCACTGTCATTTAAAACACATGCACCAAAAAGATTCACCTGCAGAGAATGTTTGGTGAATGTCAAACTCACTGCTTTATAAATATTCACTGAGATATAGCAGTCCTGTAGCTGCAATGAAAATAATTGTCATTATTAGTTGCAGCATGATGAAGAAAGTACCATTTGATTGAACTGATTTCATTTCGTTATTTTCTAAAATTTCAAGAGATTTGTCAAATTGTACAAAAATGAAAGTAAGCTCAAAATAAAATATATTTACTGTAGCAGGAGAAGCCACTTCTAAATCCATTGGCTCAAAAATCAGACTCATCTGAGAAGACATCTGAATAATTTCTCCACTCATTAAACATAACTTTTTATTGTCATCCAACACTGTATTCATGTTTTCAATCCATACAGCATCAACTGGTCCATCAAAGATTAGCCATTTCCTGTCTGGGGTCTGCAATAAGAAACAAGTAAAGTTAATAAACTTAAATCACAAAATGTAAATATGAAAATGATCTGTACCTATATCTTTAGCTGCTAAAATGTACGAGTTCAATGAGGAACTCCAGGAATTTGAAAAGTTAACCCTTGCAGTGGGGCTACGCCCGCACTGCAAGGGTTAACTGCTAGTTTTGTCTAGGGAGTGAAAATATCAAAGGTATAATCACCCGATCCGTGATCCCGCCTGGCTGCTAGACCAGCCCTTTCAGTCTCGCTCCGCCTCCCTTTTGGCAGTCTAAGGATCCATGATATCATCACATCTAATGCAGTGTATTAGATGTGAAGACGCCAAGGCATATTTCACCACTGAGCAGAGGAGAAGTGAGGCTGCAGGAACCAGTCTAGCAGCCAGACTGGATCCAGGATCGGGCGAGTATAACTTTGTTTTCGTTCCCTAGACAAAACGAGCAGTTAATCCTTGCACTGCACTGTATCTCCAATACAATGGTTAACTTTTCAAATTTCTGAGTATCTGCTTTGAGTTGTTATGATATAAATGTAAAATAAGACATAAAAGAGTAAGAGTATACATTCTTTTCATGGATATATTAAACGTATAACACACACAAAGCCACAACCAATCTAGATAGAGAATGTGTGAGGGACAAGCATGAATATTGTTGAACCACAGAATTCTTCAACATTCATAACATATTCAGAGCTTTTTCTCAAACATGTTTACCAAGCACTGTTATGCCTGTACAATGAGTTTGTGTGTAACCTTGAAATGTATCAAATGCTGCATCAAAAAGATCAAAATCTCCAAGAAAGACTGGCAGTGAGTGTTTACCCGTAAAGAATAAAACAAACAATTTCAATTCCTCTTCAAAATATGGCCAAGGGATAAAGCAGAGAGAATACACTATAAAGTAACAATTTTAGCACAGCATATAGTAGTTATTGAAGCATGGAGAAAAATATACCAGTCGTCTTTTCTACTGACGCATCCACGCATGAAAAGGTTTCCTCATAAATAAGTATACTGACATCCCATGAGTATAAATGTAAGGACATGTTGTATTTTGCTCTCTGATGAAATATTTGGTTACTTATTTCCTAAGATGTATTTCCTGAAGGGAGACAACAGATGGCTGATAGTGGCTTAGAAAGTTGATTTCCTGCTTAACTGTATCATTTATACCCCTAATGTTCCATGAAACAAAGACCAGTAGGGAAAATAAGCACTGAAATAACTAATAGACACTTGCTGGCTATCATCCAGAGACAAATGAGTCTTTAAAAGGCCAGAAACCAATTTGCACAACGTTTCCACACCAGAAAGGGGGATAACGTGAAGCTCCATGTGAATTACTAGAGACAGTGACAGTGTTAAAAGTTAAAGCAGACCTCCCGCACCACCCGCATCACAACAATCTGCTGTTACATTTCAATAAAGTTGTAAAAACAGTACACATGAAGCATTGTAATCAACACATCCGCACTGTTTACTTTTGAGCACACACCAGAGACCATGGTTGGACATGAGCCCTCAAAGCAGTAAAGCAGCTCCTGGCTACTTTTTTTTAAGAAGAAAAGTTTATTTACACAAGGATTTTCCCATGTAGGGGGCTCCCAGCATCATACAACACAATTCTTCAACCTCCTGGCTATATAGTCGATTCAGACCCACAGTCTACTTCAGTCCAGACTGTAACCTTATCAGGTGTAACCTTATCTCAGGTGATCCCAGGTGATGGCCTGGTCAGTGTGGTCACTCTACTACTGTCTGCAAACATATACTGCTCCCTTGCAACACATCTGTCTACTGGGTATGGAGGAGCCCTGAGTAGCCAGACTGACAATCAGTCTCACACTTGCATGCTGAAACATTCTTAATCGGCCTCTTTCTACTCTGAGTCTGTCACATATCCCCCCCACTTCCCCATTTTAAGCTGGGGCTCAGAACAATCAAGCAACAACCAACTTCTCTCAATCCTACTGTACATATAACCGGACAGTAGCTCTAGCCTCCCTCCTCAGCATATCTTCTAGCACCATTTCCAAAATGATCTTTAAAGGGAAATTCCCCAGTACACCAAGGTACCCTTATACAGCGGCTTTCCACTACTTTGCCATAATTCCCAAAAAGACATTTCAAAAAAATGTTATGGGTGTGTTTCCAAGAGTTATATCTGACAACTTTAATTTATAGGGTTGCGCAAAAGCATAATTCCGCAAGGGTTGCTCTGGCTTTAGGTATCTGGGACAAACAAATTTGTTTTCCCTACACAGAACTTTTTCCTTTATTTGGCTTGGCAAGGAACATTTTATCCAGTAAACTGTGAAATTGTTCCCCAAACTAACATCTCACCCTCAATCAGCATCACATCCAGCTTCATTCAGTGGGGAGGAGATCAGCGGACAGACCTTGAAAACCAAGGTGGGGGTTTTCGGACGAGGGGCTCAATTTACCAGCTCCTGGAAGCAATCTGGAGGCTTTTCAGCTGTCAGAATCACTTCCAGTGTAAAGCCCACAGTCGGCTTCACACAGGTAAACAGACTTCCGGTGGTTATAGCCATAAGGCATGCAGTGCTGGCAGAGAAAGGGTTAAAGGGACTTCCTCAGAGCTGAAAGTAGTCTCGTCCATAACTGATACAATAGCCTAGTGCTCCCCCTGTGCATTGCTATGCACCTTATCCATTACCATGCTCTCTGACTCAGCAGTAGCGAGCTGCTCCACCTTGCCAGGGACATTGCCAGTTTGGCACAGCAAATCTTAGGTTATAACAGACTGCATTACCAAATTTCAACATTCTGAGCAAGTGGCTCTCCATTTAACACATGCATATTCTCTTCAATCATTGAGAGAACGCTCTCACCCACCAGGGCAGACCAACGTTGGCCTGAGAAACCTCTAGCTCTGAGACTCGGGGACCCTTGAAGGTTTCTATTTCACCTGACACCATTGCTAAGGAAAACGGCACATTTGCCTGAGTGGTTACCCCAATCATATTTATATCAGCATTCTGCTGTAATGGCTCAAGTACACACACAGAAAAGTTTTCATCATGTAACACAGCATTTTTAGATTCACTTTTAACCTTTGCCTCCCTACTTTACAGATAACTGAACAACATTTGCCTGAGTGGTTACCCCAATCATATTTATATCAGCATTCTGCTGTAATGGCTCAAGTACACACACAGAAAAGTTTTCATCATGTAACACAGCATTTTTAGATTCACTTTTAACCTTTGACTCCCTACTTTACAGATAACTGAACAACTGGGGCTAGTCCCATTTGGTGGCAGACAGTTTAAGTTCCAGTTCCCCTAGTTACTGACTTATCAGTCCCAGCCATTTTCTTGTTGAAGAAAGTCTTACTAGCCACCGTTGCAGATCTCATCTTCTTCATTTGAGAGTGCTGGGGTTGTGACGACTCTGTCGATTTCTCTTTCCCTTTTGAACCTGCCATTCTACCCATGTGGCCACAGGGTGAAACAGCAGTGGGTGCAACATGCGTGCAACATGCAACCTGTCACCCCTTGCAGGTTTAATTGGGACTCTGCCACTGTTGCAAGGGGTGACTGCAGGCACTTTATCAACACCAACCTGGCAGACTAAGACAGACTTTTGCCTGGCCAGGTTACCTTGCGCTGTATTCAAGGTCAGGGGACAATTGGTGACAGCATCCCCCCACTCATTGCAAGCAACACACTTGCCAAAATGTCTTGTGATCGCTTCCCCCATGGCATCCCCCCTTTATGCTGAGACACACTCAAAATTCCCAGGGACAGTTGAGCCACACCTTTTCTGGATCTTCAGTCTCCCAACAACAGACACCCACCTGTTGCTAGGAAAGATGGCTTTTCCTAAACAGAGGCTTGCTGGCTTTAACCATGCTGGATGTTTAACCACACAGCATGCACCATACAGTGTACACAATATGGAATAACTGCTGGAAGTTAGAAGCAGTTCTTTTTGGCAGAATAGACTTGGTGTATCAAAAAACTCCAGTTTCTAGCAGATTTTTATTTTTTTAGGTTTACTTCTGCTTTAACATCATCATAAGACAACACTTTTTGCAAAAACTAAGCTGGTCTAATTTCATCACTGTAGTTATGGGCAACAGAACTTGCCTTGTGCTTCTGGACAGGTATTGGCTTTTTCGTGCCACTAATAGCTAACTTGCCATTCCTGTAGTTGGAGTCACTGCTACTGGTGGATTCGGTTGGGTTCTCTGTGGTAAAATCGCCATGACACAAATAGACAATTTACAAGGTCCCATCCACTCCAGCCACAGAATTCTATTTTTCACTTTAGCAATGTCGCTTTTGTTTTGGAGCCCCATATTGCAGGCACTCCGCGGACAAAGTCCACAGCAACTTTCACAGTTTCAGGAAAATGGTGCACTGTAATCTTAAGATTTTCTCTCACATTAACCCTTTCAAGTACACAACCCTTGCCACACAGTTTGCTGCATAAACAGTTCATCACAGAAGAACTTACTTCACCATTGGGATCAGCAGACTCCAAGCAAAAGGAACTCAAATTGTGCCTGCATCCGAGCACCAATGGTGGGAATTTATGCTCATGTCAGACCCACAGTCTGTTTCATCTCAGACTGTGACTTTATCTCTCAGACGACAGCTCAGGTGCTAGCTTAGTCAGTGTGCCTGTCTTTTAGGAAAGACAGGTCAAAACAGAAACAATTTTAGTGTCTGCACACATGCTGCATCCCAGCAACATGGCTGTCTACTGTGGAAAGAGGAGTGCTGAATATCCAGGCTGACTGCCCTTTTTGGAGCAATATCCACCTGACAATCATTTTTTACAACTGGTCAGGGACTCTTTGCATGTTAAACAATGCTTATTCTGCAAACTTTCCACAGCGACAGAGCGTTAGTCTGTCACATAGGGTTGTGAATTGCCTTCTCATTTGAACTGGAAAACTGTGGCGTATCTAGGGTACGGCAGGCAGGTCACATGGTCACATGCCATGGGTACCACTTGAGCGGGGGGCACCACACTACTCAGGGACAGTAGCGATGTTTGTCCCTTTAGTTAAGCTTTACTCCATTAAAACCTCCCATAGACCCGCAGCGACAGACAGCACAGCTGATCACTGCTGTCACATGTAAACAAAGAGCCGGGGCAGGGGAAGATACACTGCTCACTTCCCTTGCTAGGCTCTGACTGATGACTCATCCAGTGCAGAGCCTGGCAGAGGAAGTGAGTATTGTAGGCATTCCTATGCCCCGGCTGCTTGTTTACAAGTAACAACAATGATCAGCTGAGCTGTCTGTCACTGCAATCACTTCACATGCAGAAGGGAGTTCTGCATGGGGCACAACTTAAGGGCCCTTTTAAACATTTAGCGGTGACCTGCGTTATACTGCACCGGATCAACACAGGTAACCACAAGGCAAAATTATCTAATTAAGTAAGGGGTTTGGGTACAGTGTGAGGTGAGGAGACCCACATTTTTTCAAGGACAAGGGTTGGGGGTCCTACCTTTATATGCCCCTCCAGCCCCTAACCCATACACATCCCCTACCCCCTCCCATCCACCCACTATAGACTAACAATAACAACACAGACATTGTCTTGGGGAGATTCCAGGGCATAGAGAACATGGAAATTTGTCTCAACAGCCAATGCCTGGACACAGTGAGCTAAACTCACCCTTCATGTTTTGCACAGGCCATGAATCATTTTTGACAGGATCAGTAGTTTATACTGTGCCCAGCATCTATGTGTTTTTTTTACATTGTTTTATGGCTTGATTTGTTTCTACATGTTATTATATTTAACCACTTGCAGAAAAGGTATACTTTACATCTTGTAAGATGTACCTGTGATGTATACATAAAAAAAAATTATGAAACAAATTGGGAAAAAATGATCCACAGGATTATACATGTTGTAATACATAAAGATGTTCTTAAAGTGTTTAAAGTTGAATTAGGTAACATTTTGGCATGTTAGTACATGTTGGCTTTTTTATCCAGATAAAAATGATAATTATATCTCTTTTGTCTGGATAGCCTCATATTTTATTTGTTTCTCTGTTATTTGGACAATTGTTTTCTATGTGCGCCATTCACATCACAAGGCAAGTATGATATGATTTTATCGCAGTGACCTGGATGCCACCGCAATGATCTGAATGGAGTGTACACATTGCACACTCTATACAATGTCGCACACATAAATGTTGTGTTTCAGTGAATGTGCTATTGCGTTGTAGATCTCCAGCAGTGTGCATTGTATTACACACTACCGGATCTGTCAATGATTACATTCTTTTTTTTAAACTTTATGTAGCGTGTACAATGTATACACTCTATTCAGGTCCACATACAGCAGCGTGGTGCAATGCGCTGCTGTGCAACGACCTGCCTCTTTGGAGTACAGCAGACCTTTTGTAAAAGCGCTGGTCTTGTCATTTATGGGTTTGACACACCACTATTGACTGGTTTGTGTACATAATAAAAAAAAAAAAAGATTGTTATAATCTTTCCAAAATTCAATAATTTAAAAAACACATGTCCGGAGTGTTGCTTTACACCTTTTCTATTATTATTAATTTTTTTAGTTAAGATTTACCCAAGTGTAAACAAAATCCCATCAACTAAAAAGTGGACCCCTTCTTTATTTCTCATCATGTAGTTAGGGGTTTATGCGTGTGTCATTAAGTATACTTTAACCCGCAAGTTTTAGTGCCCAAGGCATACAGCCTGAAATAAGGGTGTATATGTGTACATTTTAAATTCCAATAAAAAATTTAAATTACTTGCTTTCTAAATGTTGCTAATAAAAATAAATATTTCAATGTATCTTTACTTACTGTTGAAGAAGCAAAGGCTCTGAAACTGACTGCCAGTATTCCATCTGACCATTCATGAGACACTGGATCAAATTGTCCATAAAGTTGACCCATGGTTATGGACTTAGGATTTATCACCGTAATTTGAACCTTATTTTCATCTAAAAGGCCCTAAAAGAAATCAAGTTTTTAAACCAAAGTTAAAATATGAAACTATACATAAACACATTAACTCAAGCAACACTTTATTTTTATTTGTTAAGCTTGTAGATCTTGTAGAAGAAAATACCAGATGGAAAGATCAAACCTCATTATCCAAACCCACGAAAATGTAATTTAAGAGAGCCTATTTTCCATGTTTTTATTCTATTCCTCATTCACTTAGCACATTAGGGACATTTTGTTTATTTGTGAGACATTTTCTGCAATACTGAATACTCTTGTAGTACAAGTGTACTTTTATGTTAAAAGCCCTGTATAGGGGTGCCCCCCCCCCCTATTTATTATACCCAAAGACAGATCACAGATGCAGTGCAGTTTAATGCTGCACAGATCTTCACAAGCTCTATAGAGAAAAAATGAGAGAGCTCTATAGTCATCCATTTTACTTCTGCAGATACAGGATACAGATGCCATGTTCTGTTTGAGTTTCTTTGGGTGTGATGGAACACGCCTATTATCTATGTGGTGATTTCCAGCCCGAATCCCCGGTCACTTTTGAGTACACCATGTACACACCAATTTAAAAAAAGTGTAAGGTTTTAGAAGCATATAAACTAAAAATCTAAAAAGCTTGCCTCTTCCACATAGTGCTATTGCCATTGGTTTTACAATAATTTGTAAAGCCGACAGTCGGCTCTACAAGTTTAAACAGAGTCCCGGCGGCAAAAGTCACCGGGAGTCTGTTTAAACAGCCCCGATGCTGGCGACGTACACTGTACGTCGTCAGTCACGAAGGGGTTAACACTTATCGGACTTTATCAAATTAACTTAATTCAAATGCAACTCTGTGAGACCCGTCACCTAGAATCCATGTCTAATCAAAGTCAAATCAAGTCTAGTCATGCCAAGTCTAATCAAAGATCTTTGTCAAATGGCTGGCTTGATATTATTTCTGAAATTAGGAAGGCATAGGCCTTTGATGATCACATAAAACAAATTGTCACTGTTCTTTTACTCTGTATACTATTTTTAAAATGTGTTTTTGTAACTCTGCTTGCTAGGATATACTCTAATTGGGAGAATTTGGAGAATGAAAAATAAATGAGATGGAATGTTCACTTTTATGATCTAAATCCTCCCTGGGCAAGAAAAATGAAAGAGAGACCAGTTACATGAGTCTATCTTCAAACATCTTTATTGTTTGTAACAGAGGCTTAAATAATTTTGTGAATATTTGTGCAACCTCTAGGGAGTCCAAATACTCAAATAGCTTAAAGCATTGATTTCCCAGGTGAAATAAAATTATTTTTAAACACAGGGGATGAAGGGTTTTGGAATATTAAAGATTAGGCTTTTCTATTTACCATGGTTAATCTGGACAGGAAAAGTGCACTCAGTATATAATATAGTTAAAGAAGTTGAGAAGAGTGTTCTATTAGCATTTTTGTTGAATCTAATTTGCATCATGTAACTAAAATAAATAAAGATGCTAGAAAATGCATGCTTAAATGCCAGACAGTTAACAGAAAAAATGGTTCTTTTCCTGTCTCATTTATTATGCACTAGATTTTGCTGTCTATAGATGGAGTGATTGTTATCTTTGTTTTGATACAACACAGATTCAGCTTTAGTTAATGGTAATCTTAGCAGACATTGTTGGTAAACTGCTAAAATCCCCTGAAATCTGCATGGAAAATCATACATAATATTTTAATATTAAATAGTTAACTGTAAAATGGTGTTATCTAGACATGTTACATAGTATTTGAGGTTGAATAAAGACATAAGTCCATCAAGTCCAACAAATGTGCGATTTGTTTTGTTCCAAATAGAGATTCAGACGATTTTTTAGAAATGTGGACATTTGGATGCATCCGAACTTTGGAATAAAAATACATGGAATCCAAGTGTATCCGAATTTTCCGATAACAAAAACTTCGGATGCATCCAAAAAATTTTCCGAATGTCATTTTAAATCAATTTATGTAGCTAAACGTTAAGATAAAAGAAAAAAAGTGAGGAGTACCCTCCTCAATTTATACCAGACCCTTTAGGTCTGGTAGGAATTTTAAGGGGCTCCCCAACGCTAAAAAACAAATGTGTGGGGTCCTCCCAAAAATACCTTACCAGAATCTTGAACCGAGCAGAAGCATGGCAGAGCAGGAAAGGGGGGGGGTGTGTGCGCCCTTTCCTTACCATACCAGGCCACATGCCCTCGACATGGGGAGGGTGTTTTACCAGGGAGGGACCTCCTGGAAAAGCACCTTGCCTCCATGTCGATGGGGACAAGGGCCTCTTTCCCACAACCCTGGCCCGGGGGGTAGTGAGGGTCTGCAGTAAGAGGGCTTATCTGAATGCTGCCCCCCTTTGTGAATGAGTAAGGGGTAGTTGTTACCCCTACTCATTCACCAAATAAAAAAAGTCAAATTGTAAATAAACACACCACACCATAAACTTTGTAAGTAGGCCTATATAGCTTTATGAAAAGCATTATAAATATAATCTTGCCATACTTACCTTTTCACATATGTCATTCAGTGCACCTGCCAGGACTCGATAGGCAGAGGTCTTTCCTCCAAATGGTTCCCCAACAATCATAAACCCATGGCGCACAATCATCATTTCATAAATCTGCAAAATCTTTTCTGCAAAAAATCCAGTCATCTGTAAATTCATACGCTCACAATTTTCCTTTATAGCGTCCATGAAAATTTGATAATCAGCCTTAGGCAGTTTTACCCCTGGAAACAGGTCAGATGTTATAGCCTAAATAAAACAAAAAAAACAAAAAGTACAGTATGATTATTTAAGCATGATCATTATATTCACATCATTTAATAAATAAATGTCTCATACATCCACTAAAAGTTAATATTATATTTGTATCATATAAATAGGATAGAGCATGTTATGTATAATGTCAAAAGAACTGGAGGATCCTGGAACACATTTAGGTTTACACTTTCAGAGAGCATGCACCACATTTTGTGCTCTCACCTTTACTATTCCACTTTCTAATCCTTGGCTCTTCTTTTTTTTTTTTAAACAAAATTTTTTATTCTGTTATTGCGGACAACCCATGTCGGGTAAAACCACAACTTACCAAGATATTCAATACAAATAATACGAGGTTTTCTCAAAACTACCTCGACAGTTGCACCAGAAATAACATCTTTCCAACTTTTACAACATTCCCGTGCTGGTTGCCCCCATATCCATATACTGTAATCTACTCGTACATACTATAACAATGCTCTATCCTACTTAGAAACCTCAGTTTGGGCTTCATAGCACCCCCAGTGGCCCCAACGTTCCCGACAATTTATTTTTCAGATACCAGTCCGAGTATTGAAAGGGTTGCATTATGTCGGTCAGTTCTTGCTGGTTAAAGGTCACTGCAAGAAACTGTTTCCATCTCCGGAAGAATTTTTTAGATAGTGAATCGATATTATTTTCAGCATCCAACTTTTCTCTGAGGAACAACATTTTTAATTCCGTCACCACACTTGAGATAGACGGGACCGCTGTAGTATTCCAAGATCGCATGATGCAGCGTCTGGCTGCCAGCAGGCATATGTGCAGCCAGTCCCCTCCCCTGCGGGCCGGCCCATTTGGGACTGCTTCAGTATCCGCAGGAATGCTGAATAGAAACAACAAAGGATCCAAGGTTGGAGTCTATTGGAGGACCGATGCGATGTATACAATCACCCTTGTCCAGTATTGCACCATATGGGGGCAGGACCACAGGCAGTGTGTTAATGTTGGGCGTGGCATACCACATTTCGGGCACAGTGATACCAACTGCTGTGGTGTTGGTCCGGGCGGCCGGAAGTACGCCACATAGGCCCGGTGCATAGTTTTAAACTGGGTCTCCCTCCAATTTTCATTAACCACCAGTCTGCGAATCCTATTATATCCTTCCACAATACTCTCCACCAAATCCGGTGTTGGAAAGTCTTTTAACCATTCCTTGATGTTGGATGAGGATAGTTGTGGGATGTAAGTACGCTGCAGGCCTGGGTATAGATCCGAGATAGAATAAGTCCCTCCTGTTATGAGGGTCTCCAGAAAAGAGGAGGTGAATAGTTTTTTGGGGTCACTGGAAAACATTTGCCACGTCTTATGTGCTTGCAGATAATGCAGAAAATGAGAGGCAGGCAATGCATACTTTTGAGCCAGGTCTGGAAAGGATAATGGTCGGTGAGTTTCCAATTGGAACAAGTGTTTCCAAAGACTTAACCCGTTCCTGCACCACAATTTGTAAGCTGCGTAGTTGTTACCCTGGGGAAACATCGCCCTCCATGCGAGTACCGTATCTCTAATGACTAAGTGATGGCGCAGTGATACCGGCAACTTTGATAGTTTACAATGAACTATGCCCTTTTTTTCCCACAGCTGCACCAGGGCCGCTTCCGCGATTGGTATTAGAATATCTCGATGCGTCCGTTAGCCAGTCCACCGCATGGCGTAGTATGCATGCCAAATTATACAGTCTGATATTAGGAAAATTTGATCCCCCCTCGCTTCTCGGGAGCCAGAGCTTTTTCAACGCTACCCTTGGGCGTTTAGAGCGCCATATAAACTGTACCATAGCCTTGTTAAGCTTTTGTACATCCTTGTGTTTTAATAGCAAGGGAATCGTCTGCAAGGGGTAGAGCAGTCTCGCAAAGCTCGTCATTTTTACTAGATGGATCCTCCCGAAAAGCGATAGGGGCAAACCCTGCCAGTTCTCCAATTCCCGCACTAGTCTATCTATAAGAGGAGGGAAATTCAGGGTATATAAAGAGGAAGGTAGTTTACCTACTTTGATGCCCAGGTAGGTGATGTCCCGACGTGCCACTGTGAAGGAGGAGGTGTTGTCCCACGACGAAGAAGCTGTAGCCGCCAGGGGTAATACCTCACTTTTGGAATAATTTATGCGGAGCCCTGAGAAAGTTCGAAAGGTGTCAAAGAGGGTCTGGACAGTCATTAGATCCTGGTGCGGTCGGGATGTAAACAACAGGATGTCATCGGCAAAGAGGGAGACACGTAGCTCCTCCTTCCCGATCTGTATACCCTGCAGAGTGTCTGTTTGTAAGATGTATCTTGCCAGCGGTTCCAGTGCTAGGTTGAATAACAAGGGGGACAGCGGGCAGCCCTGTCTGGTTCCCTTGTGCAAACTAATAGGTCTGGAGAGAGCTCCCTGAGTCCATATCCTCGCGGTGGGGGAGGAGTACATTTTCTGTATCAGCGAAAGGAACTTACCCCCGAACCCCAGCTTGGACATGACTAAAAATAGCCAGTCCAGGTTCACGTTATCGAACGCCTTTTCCGCGTCAAGAGTCACTATAGCCAACTCTAGAGCGGGAAAGGCTTTCGCTTGTTCCAGGGCCATAATGACCCTCCTCAGGTTCATAACAGCCGCTCTACCTTTCATAAATCCCACTTGGGCAGGGTGTATGAGACGGGGTAGTACCACCAGCCTGCCCGCGAGGATCCTAGAGAGGATTTTAGTATCTACATTAATAAGCGAGATAGACCGGTACGAACCCGGGTTGGTCAAATCCTTCCCTGGTTTAGAAATAAGTTTGATGTACGCCTCCCTACCCGTGGGAAAATAAGCGTGTAAAGGTTCTGCAGGATGCCCGCTATCTCACCTTTTGAGTATCTTAAAGAATTCTGATGTGAGCCCGTCAGGGCCCGGTGCCTTGCAACCCGCCATAGAATTGATGACCGTTTCTACATCCCCTACCGTTATGTCCGCATTAAGGGCCTGGAGCTGTTCCTCCTCTAGCGTGGGAAGATCGACTTGACCTAGGAATTGATCTGCCGCCCCCTTGTCCATGTCATCTTTGGCATAAAGCGCTGTGTAATATTCCTCTAAGGCCCCATTGATAGCTGTGGGGTCCGTGAGGAGCGTCCCCGTGGTGTCTTGCAGGACACAAATGTGCTGCGGTGAGTGCCTCCCATTCACCAATCTGGCCATTAGTTTGCCCGCTTTGTTCCCATACTTGTGGAGTGTGAGATCAAAGTAAGAGGCCTTCATGCGCTCATATCTGTCCGCCCATAGGTCGATTGGCTCTTCTTTTAATGTTACATTTTACTTCTAAAGGATAACTTTCCCTTTGCTTCCCTCTCCTGCCTGTCTGATTTTGTGTCTCTGCCTTGAGTAAAGTTAACCAATAAGGAAGCTTATGTGAGTACCGGGTTGGTAGTTCATATTTACTCAAAGAATTTAAATGTACCTATACAACCTTGGAGTAGGTGTAAAAACCAGCCAGTGGATGCTCTGGTTGCCCTGTTAACCTCTTGCCGTCCGCCCGTAGTAAAAAAACGGACGGACGGCACTGCAGCATCTGCGGGTTGCCGTCTCCAGACGGCAATTTTTTTCTGCTCGCGCGCGCCCCCTAGCGGGCACGCACGGGCAGAAAAGACCCGCTAAATGCACACACCCGTTACCGGGTGTTTCACATATAGGCGATCGGCGGGTCCATAGC